ATTAGGAGGCCATAAAGAAAGGAAATAAGGATAAGAAGACTCCCTCAAGGATAGAGGTGGGTAAACGAAAGAAGGCAGAATCCTGAGGGAGGAGGGTTGGAGGCTAAGACTTAAAACCCCTGCCACGGAGGGGGAAAAGCAGAGGGAGCGAGAGACTCAGAAGTGGAGAGGGAGAAGCAGTGGACGAGGCTGTGAAACAAAACCGGAAACGGGCTCAGCCTTACCGGTGCCTGAGGTGTGGATCAAACCCCCGTCTCCACCCGATTCTCTACTTTTATAAGGAGCGAGCCATTCACAATGAGATTGTACACGCATGCTTTCCAAGTATCGATAAATATAGCAGTCAATACATGACAATTATTTCAACGCGCAGTATGCACCTCCCGTCCCTTGACAAACACACGTCCGATATTGCGGTCATCTCCAGTCATCAAGAACTTCTCAAACACCATCGGCACTCCGTCTTCCTCCTGCACTGGCGCCATTACGCCCTCCTCCTGCGTCCGAACAAGCAGCGCATCAAACTCCTTGCCCACCAGGAAGTTCCCCACCTTCTCCTGCAGTCCGCATACCCGCGCTCCGCCCAGAGTAGCCATGTAGAACCCCTCCGTGAGACTCAGAGGCTGGTCCTGTCCTTGCGTCATTGTACACCGTGCCGTCGACACCACAAAGGCAGCTTTCATCACGTCGAGCATGGAGCTTGAATAGCCTCCTCCACAGTCCGTACCTAACCCGACTTTAATATCCCGACGAAGATACTCTCGCACGGGGGCAACCATGAACTCATCCATCGTAACATTGGGAATAGGGCAGTGAGCGATCCCACACTGCAGCTCCGCCATACGTTCGATCTCTGCATCGGAGAGATAGATCGAGTGAGCAAGTATGCTCCGGTCATTCAGGAGCCCAAGCCGCTCATAGAGCTCCGTTTCACTCTTATCATTGGGGAACAGGGACCTCGTAAAGTCGACCTCACCCCGCGACTCGTTGAAATGTGTCTGGATGGGCAAGTCACGATTTCGGTCTGCGACAGCCCCAAGCCCAGCCAATAGTTCTTCCTCGCAGCATATCGCGAACCGCGGTGTAATCACTGGCGTCACTAGTCCATGCGTGGGATCAAGTTTCCGAACTTGAGCAATAAAGTCTTCCGTTTCGCGGAGGGATTCTTCCACCGACGCGTCCCGGTACCAGTCCGGGGCATGACGAGTCATATTGCACTTTCCGATCAGCGCACGCTGGCCTAGGCTGAGGCAGGTTTCAGCGAGGATGACCGATGCCGGTGCATGACGGGAACCGTAGTAGCAGGCGGTCGTCATTCCTTGTTTGAGTCCGCCGCGGATGCAGGACGCATAAAGCGACTTAGCGTACTCCAGATCGGCGAGTTTGGCTTCGTGGCGGAAGGTAATGGTCTCCAGCCAGGTAAGTAGATCGATGCCCCGCCCTGTGCCGCGCTGGGCCCATTGGGGCGCATGAGTGTGCGTGTCGATGAAGCCGGGGATGAAGAACTCGGTGGGCTGCAAGATGGTCACTGTGCAAGTAGATTCAGAGTAGTGGTATTCTGCAAGGAGATCTGAAATGGAAGTTGTGGGGGTGGATGGGTGGATGGCTTGGATGGTGCCAGTGGGTGAGAGGAGGATGAAAGTCTCAGTAAGGATCTCAAGTTGCTTAGAGCTGAGTGTGTGAATGAAGGTGCCATGGAAGGCTTGAGCTTTGGGTGTTTCAGAAGCCATGAGGGGAGTGGCTGCGGTAATAGTTGGGGGGATTGATAATGACTATAATGAAGATGTTGTGGTGGAGTTGACAGAAGATAAGCGTTGTTAGGGGTTTTATCTACAGCGGGGTAGCAATGCGCCTCCACATTTTCTACACCACAACAGCCGTAAGCTCAAATACAGAAATCTGCCTCCAAAATTGTCATAATAATCCAACTAAAGGGTATAATATGTCGCCATCTCCTCCTGGAACCAATCATAGGAATAGAATAATTGCTCCGCCAGTTGCGGGTCAATCATGGGTATATTCCCCGATCCATTTACCAGGAGAACGTCATCCAGCACCGGCGCTAGGGGTACCGGTGGTGCTACCAAAATATGCTGTGGCTGCTGCTGCTGCTGTGGTTGTTGCTGCGGCTGCTGTTCAAGGAACGGTTGATGTTGTGGCAATGGTGGCTGTGGTTGCGGTGGAGGCGGTGGTGGTTGTGGCTGCTGTTGTTGTTGAAGCTGCTGCTCCTGCTCCTGCTGCTGTTCCTGCTGATACGCCAGATGGCTGAAGATCATCGTGCTCTGGTTGCGGAACGTCTCCGCCAGTCGGTCCACCCCCGGACGTCGCTTGCCAAATTCCTCCAGCAGAACAACTACGGCCTGAATGGCCCGTCGCATGCTCTGATCCTCGGGCTTCCACGCAGCACCACGGCCTTCGCGGACGGACTGGAGATTGTGGTTTAGACACCACAGGATTGTAATGCCGGCAAAGTAAACCTGACTGAGGGTCAACCAAATCCACTTGAGTTTCCCCTGCGAATAGCTGTCCCAGTAAGACCGAATGACCTGGATGCTGGCATTTCCGCAGCTCACAATGCTCGTAGCATCGGGTGTCGGATTACGCGGGCTCGGTCGGTACATAAGGAGCAGTGTCGTTGCATATAGATAGTCGTAGTAACTAGTTGAGTATAAAAGCGCGGGCGCATACACCGGTGCTTCCTGTCGCCAGTCGTCTAGCTCCTGGCGGAAATGACTCAGTGTGATGGCAACCTCTGTTGGAGGGGGTGGCGGTTGGTTGTTGAATACTGTCACAGTCAGTGGGACTGAACACGGCGAGCACCATATAAACTAGAAGAGACTTACAGTAGCGGTAGATGCGCGAAAAAATCCGGCGCAGGCGCACCACCTGCAAAGGAATAGTCATAGCACTAGCCCCCGGGGTCTCTGTCCAGTTGTCATTGAATTCCCGCGGCAAGCCGATGGAAATGTCCTCGTCTGCAATTCCAAGTGGCCTTCCAAGGGTGCTGGCGATTAGTCGATCAAGATTGTAAAGACTCCAGAACGCCCGCTTGGCCATCTCCTCTTCTATCACGTTCCCCGTTGGACGGGCTTTATGCAGCCCGAGACTTGTGGCGAGACGCAGAGTAGTCCCGAGGATGTGCCACACACTGGGGCCCGTGGTCGCAAACATTGTATACACAGCGACGCTTAAAAGGGCTCGAACAGCTGCCAGATCTTCGTTTTGTAACGCCAACGCCATGGTCTCATTGCTAACATTGTAGAACTCGGCAGCCTGTGTCTCGTCGGCAGATCCGATCAACAAGGCCGTAGCGATGGTGATATGATACGAGTGATGAACCTCCGGTGCGGGGACCTCCCCCGCATAGATGCGATCAAGATGAGCCATAAACTCCTCACGATGGAGAAAAGGATATTGGTACCCTAGACTATCAAAGTATCGCAATGCCACTGATTTCGCCTCTGGAAGTGAGGCGAGCCGCATCACGCGAGGAGCGGATGCTACCGGACGCGCGATGGAGGGTCGTCGATGCTCCAACTGGTCGCGAAACAACTCACCTACGTTAGGCAACTCGGTGCCTACCGCAGTGGAACTAGGAGCAGGGCTGCTGGACAGCGCTGTTGCCGTCGTTGTGGGTGTTGAATGTGTTGAACTCCCGCGAGTCATCATCAAGGCTGGTACCTGGTACCACCAGTCCGGGTCGCCCTCGCCATCCAGCGCAGTCCCCGTAGGCCGGTCGGCGACCGAGATGCCTGTTTTGCGGCGCAAAAGCTCCTCCAACCATCGTACCCGGTTTTGTAGATTCTCCAACTGATCTCGAGGAACAGACGCCGCAGCGACCTGGGGACCCGGCGGAGGGATGGTACAGCGGACACCGGCGCGAGTACACGCGGAGCAGTTCGGGTAGCGGAAGTCACATTTCTTCTTCCGTTTTCGACAAAAGTCGCACGCTGTGGATACTCGTTTACTGCGAGGATGAGGAATCTGTGATGGGGAGGATCGCGATGAGGCCGGGGTTGGTTGAGACTGCTGCTGATGAGACTGAGGGAGTGACGGTGGTGCTGTTGGGAGTGGCTGTTGCTGCTGAAGCGGTACGGATGGAGGCGGCGGCAGCGACTGCGGAGAAGGGACGGAACTGGGGTGAGCAGGACGCGGCGGAGGAGGAGGAAGCGATGCAGGATGAGAAGGAATCGGTAGGGGATCGAGTCGGAATTTGCCCAGCTGATGCCGAAATTCGGGGTCACGGTTGGTCATGGTGGTGGAAGGGACGGAGAAGGAGGCCAGGGAAGGCGGCTCGAACCGCAGGCCATACCGGGGGGAGGAATTATTGAGTGGGGGAATGAGATGGATGGATTTGGATTGATGGGAAAAGAACTGGGCGAGAGTGAACGGAGTTGCAGCCGTAGCTCGGTCTTTAGTCTTAGTGAGCTGCCGGGGGGAGAGAGGGGCGTATCCACCCGAGGGAGGTCTTGGTCTTTAGTTAGAGAGAGAGAGAGAGAGAGAGAGAGAGAAATGGTGGGAAGGGAAAAGGTTTATTAGTCTTTATCCCCTCAGCCCCAAATGGTCGATCAATCCTGCCAGTGACTCTTTTATCTCTCTCTCTCTCTCCCTCCCTCCAAACTTTGACGGGTGCACCACATTTGTTAAACTGCAATGCGGGCAATTGCAGTCACAGTTTGCTTAGGAGGATATCTACACCGCCGCCCGAACCTCCCGATCCCTGAACCTTAACCCACCTCCCCTCAAGGTTCCCTGGTTATGATGCTTTAAACACGAAGGACTCGCTGAGACAAACCAAGGCTCGGGGCTAACACTGGTTTTACCCATTCGCCCCCTACATTTCCTACATTTCCTACGCTGCAAACTTCGTACACTATCTTGTGGACTCACGAAATTGATAAAATTAATACATTAATTCTAGCTTTGTATATGATAAGAAATATGCCGACCGAAATCCAATCATTACTGAAATTAACCAAAACGCCTCAAGCCCTCATCTGTTATTGCCAGGTCCCCTTTGCAGGGCCAAAATATCCCGAATCGGGAAGTCTGTTATATGGCACACCGTGTGCATCGGCTGTATTCCGATACACGGTGTTGCCCCACCACTTCAATGACCCAGCTGGTAAAATAATGCAGAAGAATATAATGACGGTCGACACGGCAACCCCGGAGTCGAGTGCGGCAGAAAGCACATAGTCTACAGCAACTCCATTAGCAACTGGCCGCGAGCAAGACTGATCAAGAACCACTTACTATACTTTGACCACCAGGCAGGCTTGCGCCGTTTGATAACCCCATTGAAGATCACATTGACCAACCACCACGACGAAAAGTTGATTCCCGTCGCAGGAGGGACGAGGCTCATGGCACCAAACGCAACGGGCCAAGAAATATAGTTGACCTTCTTCCACCGGCGGCCCAGGAGCCATGTGATCACCACGACGGCGGGTCCAACAAGGAAGAACCAAAGCAGATTCCCGTACATCTGGCCGGGACTGAAGTTTCGATCGGGACCGAGAACACCTAGACAGAACTTTAACGGAAAAGCCACGAAGTTTAGTGGTCGGGCCGACACTTACCCCAGATCAAGGATGACGAGTAAGTTACCTGGCCATGAGGGCAGGTAAAGCCTCCCTCAGCCTCAGGGGTGCAGACCCCGCGGATCCGAGTGATCATGAATACAGTCACACCGCACTGAACAACGGCACCAACCAATGTGGCCATTCCCTGCGCGACAAACAGCGTTCGTGGCGCGATATGGAGATAGTGCGCCAATTTCATGTCGGCCACAAATCTATAAATCGGTCAACTCTTATCTCCCTGCAGACCATGCAGACACTTACTCGAGTCCCTGCGACACGCCCGCATAGCCGTAAAACTTGAACGCCATGTTTGCGACTGGTCGTCCTAGGAAAGCATAGCCACCGATAAATTCGGTAATCAAATTCAGTTGGTTGCTGGATATATTGGTGATCGCTTTGATGATACCAACGGGGATGATGTATATGATGGGTAGCAAATATGCCAGAAGAACCGCCCACGCCGGGAGGTCCGTACGCCAGACCTCGTTGGCCACTATGCTCAGCGCAAACATTACAACCGTAATGCCGCCAAACCACCACCACGGCACACTCTCATAGGTGTCCATGATCCGGGCATGAACATCTTTCGCGTTCCTACCCTTCCATTGCTCAACTAGATCTTTCCCGTGATACAGTGCGACGTGGACGAAGATGCCCGTCAGATTCGCAAAGGCCACGCCATACGTCATGGCATACCCGGCCGGGAGAAACATGGGGGAATAGTTGCGGTATGCCTCCACATTGAATGTTCCGTCTGCGTTCATTACGCGACTTGTATTATATGGCTTGCCCGTATTGTCGAACGTATCTGGGTTCAGCAGAGGAAGGTAGGCCGAATACCACGTGTTGGTATAATAGATAATCGGGCAGATGATCCAGTAGAAGAGCACAAAGGAACCGATAACGTTAAGGCCTGCCCAGAATGGGACTAAAAGGGGGCTCTGGTTGGCGTAGACAACCTGTGCCCAGTCGAAGGTCAACAAGGACATGCCCAACCCTGTCTTTTGGCCAAAGAGTTGGTTGACCACCACATTGTCCGGTACGATCCAGCAGATGAAACTGAATGTACTTAGGGCTGTGAAAAGGTAGCCTGGAGCGAAGTACCAGATTGCCCCAGCCACGAATACAATCATAAAGAACCGAAGTCGGCTAATTACCCAGCCATCTGCCATCGGATTTTGGCGCGAATGCAGGGTCGAAAGCAAAGCGGCGTTCGACAAGACCTGCGGCCAGATCATAGTGGCCGGACCCACGAGCCAGCGTGCGGCCATCCCCGCCAGACCAAACCCAAACAGTTGCGTGGTAATCATCAATAAGATCTCGAATCCTCCATGAGAGGGCATATCGTAAAATTTAACCATGGCCTCGATCACTTGAGTTGCAGCTGCCGACCCGAAAGAGACATTGGACATAATTGTGATCAGTGCATGCTCTTTGATGTTGAAATGGCGGTCCGGGTTGAACCAGCCCAGGGGCACCCATTGCGCCCACGCACATCCGACCGGAAATGCTAGGAGCTGGGCAACGAGAGCACTGATAGTCACACTGGGTTGTCTCAGACTAAAGAATTGGTTCAAGCCACTTCCGACCTATAACTGATGAGCGATTTACTTCCCCAATTTGCAGCAGCATCACGGTCGGAGGGAGAGTACATACAATTGTGAAAACCATACCAATCACCCACATGCGAACAGTATTGACCGGGAGCTGCCGGTCGTCAACCGGCTTGACGACCGCGCGCACTTCGGGAAATGGGGAATCGTCGGCTTCATAGGGGAGGATGTCCTGAGCGCGAGAGTCGCTAAGGATGCTGGAGGCATCGCTAGTCCCATTCAACGACGGCTCCTAGACAAAGCACGAAGACGATCATCAGCATTGCAGATTCCGGGAAGGAGATGAGGGCCAATAACAGCAGATGGTGGATGTGTCAGATGTGATGATGTCTCACGTAAAAGTAAATGCACGATGCAGGTGGGGGGTAAATCGGACGATATAGATGGGGACACCACGTGAAGGGAATCCGGGGAAGATGACAAGCAGTCGGGCCAATATGAAATGAAACCAGTCGCGATCAAGATAGTGAAGATGTAGATAGTAGTAAACCATGAATAGTATGTAGAAGGACAAGGAAATATGGGTCTAGCCCACCTGGATCGTCGATGACTTCTTCTCATCGGTCATCGTGTCCTGCAGCCCCATCATCCCCTCCTTCTCCTCTTCTGAAGGATCCCCGGATTAATCAAGATGCGCTGGTGGGAGAGACAAGCTAAGCGTCTAGAAGCTGGGATGGAACAGCACCCCGGCGAGACCGGCTCGGATGATGCGTTGGATAATTAGCAGATAGGGGCTCTGGCTGGTCCGGAGAGCATCGGCCGCAAAGACGGTGGAGTGCGCCGCTGCAATCAACCAACGACCAGCAAGCTTGTCATCGGCCTGGCCCGACACTAACAGGCACCCTAGCTTGCCAGAGACGGTAATTCTGGAGATGGGCGGTTCAAATGGCACTCCTGGGTGGATAAAACGCCTGGAGGCTATAAAGATGAGGATGAAGTTGGGATAAACTCCCCTGCTGGAGTTCTTTCTGGGGCGAGCGAGGGGAACGGTGAGAAGACAGGCTTTCCCACTAGGCACTGACGTACCCTCGCGCCGCCCAAAAAGAAAGGGGAAAAAGTCTGTTTGGTGACTCGAAGCCCATCATGGCTGGTTCCAGGCGTCCGAGATGGCAATCTCTCGCACAATCACAAAGAATTCGGCCACGCCGGCTCCACTCCCTCTCCACCAACTATTGCGGTTATCCAGTGCCACCCGGATCTTGGGTCCTATGGGATGGGACAGATGGTCGCCCATACTTTATCTCTATTCTACTCTTAGCATAGATAGGGGGGGAGATGATCTGATCAGGATCAGAGTGTGATAGCGATGCAGCTTGCATGAACGCCATTGTCAGATTTGCTCATTGTGGATGTGGGCAACTGGTGGTCCTGGCTGAGTTCTGCGCCACCATAGGCTCCAGTTGAGAATTGGCAAAATTAGGCATATATAAAGCCCCCTTGTCTGATGCAAGACACAACAAAGTCAATGTCCCGTTCAGTTGTGACACTGTACTACCACAATCCACTTCTGTGTACAATGCTGAGCAGTGAAGACTAACTGGCCAGAGCGGAAAACCGAGATCTTTTCTGTAGACGGAAGTCTCTCGGTCCGAAGTTCGCCCATGCAACACAGACATTGTTCACCGTCCCTTCAAGACTGGAGCAGTGGGTGCCAGCATACCCCCAATTCTTGGAAGTTGACGGCTCGGGAGTTTTGGAATGATTTAATGAACATTTTGTGGAGTCTGGACTTAGGCAGTAACAATCCCGTAGGGCCATGTACTGTGTACTGTGTAGATTATAGTATAGACAATAACCGTTTCTTACTGCTTATTGTTGTTGCCACCGGGCGCACAGGGAGACTTCTCTTAATAGACATAGGATGACATCAGGGTATGTTGGCAATATGACAACTACCTGCAATGTACACATGATGGCATTGAACTAGTACGGTTAGTGTGTGTTGTCGAGCTCATGAAGCCTGATCAAAGTCCTTTGTAGCAGATGGGAGAAAACTGGGTCGGTCATGTGTCACCTCTGGATCACAAACCAAAGCATTGTCTTTAGGTCTGGACAATAATAGCATACTAGTATTTACCCACTACGAAGTGCCGTAGTAGAATGTCTGCGGGATTTGACCCGGGATTGCAAGTTCTACTCGTCCCTTGGAACAAGATCCAGGTTAGGGGACGATAAGCTTGGTGAAACCTGCTATGGCGACCGATCCAGGATTGGAGGTCGACCGTCCGGACATGATTTCACGCACCGAGTGCGTGCACGATACATGCATGCATGCATGCATCGAGCTCTGTATTCTTTGTCAAGCAAACGATGTACTTTTAAAACTGCCCTTTTTCTGCTTTTCTATCGGCGGATCTTCCCGGTCGCTGATCCCGATGCAGTGCAGCAGCCACTGAAGCCGAACGAAAGGCAGCGGGGAGTGTAGGTGAGTCTGACATAGATTAAAAGGCGCCGGGCTGCGTTGCATGATCAGTGGACTAGTGAGGTCGAAAGAGATTGCCTAGATACTAAAATCATAAGTTCTTCTATTATGGAAGTTCTGCACGATTCCTTTTGCCAATTACCTATAGATAGTTAACTAAGACGTGAATTAAGATGTAAGTAACTAGTTAATCTTTCCAATCTTCCGACCGATGACATACTATCTATTTACTTACTTACTTTCTCTACTTGCTAGACGCCACAATGCAAGGGGAATTTCTCCAGCCGGAAGTCGTCCGTTTAATACGGAGTAGTATCTACTATTCAACTGACTACTATTAGTAGATTGTAAGTAGTTTAGCGGTCTGCTGCGGATTGGAGATTCTCGCAGGTTCCTTCCTTCCCGCTTCCAAAAAAACATCTTTGCATCCTCAAATCAACATTCGGGCAGATGGTATGAGGTCAGCCCTCCAGAAGCAAATTCACAAACACAAAAGTACACCAACAATGGGCGCCTAGTGGTAGAAAAAAGAGCTAAGAGCGGGCGCTGCCTTGGTCAAGACCCAGGCATTCCAGACCCTGAAACCGGAATCTTGAACGAGCGCAGAATTTTCCATCCTGTCTAAACCTTCTAGACTTGCTTGTCTCTCTCTGTCTCTGTTCTGTCTCTACCGGAGATGGCGGAGGGCGTAATTAAACCCCAACGGATGGGGACAAAAAACAAGAGCAGCAGAATGAGGCGCATCCCCCGGGAAAGGCAGGCACAAGGGGGAGAAGACGGCAATTTTCCCAGCTTTTTTATTTTGATTTAATTTTATTATTTTTTTTTGATTTACAGTTTCAAGTCAGCCTCTCCCATTCTTCTTCAATCCATTTCTGGCTCCTCTTTTGCTGCTGCTAAAAGGATCCACGGGCTGGCGGCTGATCGCAGTGGCCAGTGAGAGCACAGCTTGTCTTTCCCCCGCGACAACCGGCCCAACCTTCCGTCCACTGGTTGGTCCATCCCATCCTCTGCTCCCTCCCTGTTGACGTCGATGGTGCGCCTCGTCCCATCCCGGTGGGCCTCCCACTGCCCATCTGACACCATCATCCATACAGTAAAGGTAAAGTGAAGTAAAACCACCACCGCATCCTCTCTCTCTCTCTGCCTTTCCTCCACACCAGAAAAAGCCACACCAAAACCATACCATACCATTCTCATCCCCAATCCTAGGTCAAACGTCTTGTTCATTCTCCCTCTATTCTTCTCTTCTTCTTCTTGCCTTTACCCCTTCCGGATTCATCACTCTTCCATATTTCCTATTCCCTTACATCTTTTCTCCCTTTACCTTTCTCTATCTTCCTCCCCTCCTCCCCTCTCCTCTCTTCTCTTACAAAAATCCATGCCCTATTCCCACCTGACCGGTTCTGATGTTGCAGGTTCTCTTTCCCCGCCATCTCAAGATCGAGTAAAGCAACAGTCTTCATTGCCAAATGTGGTGGCCATGGATCTCAATAAACGCCTGTTCCATCTCGATATCGAGAATAAGCCCCAAGCTCAGCCCCTCAACTTCTCCATGGTAACCACGCCACCGGATGATGAGGATGATGACGAGGTGAATCATCTTAAACTCAAGGTCGAGTCGAAGCAATCTCCTCGCGAGCATGACAAGCCGTATCCCCGTGAAAAGAACATGCCCGATACCGATGTGCAGCAACCTCCAGCGGCTCTAGGTCGAATATATCGCTATACCCCCATTCCCAGCGTCATTCTTGATCCTTCATTACATGTAGTGGAGGTATCTAATTCCCACGTGGCGTTCGCCGGGCTATCGAGGGACCTGTTACTCGGCCGGTTCATCTGTGACGTCTGTCCACGCATACTGCCGGCCATAGATATTGCTATTCTGTTTGGCGCATTGCGCGCCGCCATCACGACGCAGGACGTCCAGTCGATCGACAAAATCTGTATAGATGATGCTAGCGCTTGCTATACTCTTCGCATCACCCCCATATTTGAAAACTCTAATCTGTTATACATTGTTTTGGAGGCACTTGATATCACCAAGCGTCAGATTAAATCAGTGTCCAAATCCCATGGGTCTTATTCCAATGAGACCTACAAAGTCCTGCTTGACACGGTCAAGGACTATGCCATCTTCATGCTCGACACACATGGCCATATTGTAACTTGGAACACGGGAGCAGCCCTGCTGAAAGGGTACTCGGCCAAGGAGATCATCGGACGTCACTTTTCCACCTTCTATAGCCTGGAGGATCGCTTGGCGGATAAGCCCGGCAAAGAACTGGAGGTATGTCTTCGGGAGGGCAAAGTGGAGGACGAAGGCTGGCGGTACCGCAAGGATGGTTCTAGGTTTTGGGCCAACGTGTTGATCACTCCTATGTACGCTCTGGGCCGCCATATTGGCTTCACCAAGGTCACTCGCGACTTGACGGAACGCAATGCAGCCGAAGCCCGCATGATCGCGGCCTTTGAAGAGTCATCGAGGTTGAAGACTGATTTCCTTGCCAACATGAGTCATGAGATTCGCACGCCAATGAACGGCATGCTTTTAGCCCTCACATCGCTGATGGCCACGGACATGAACGAACAGCAGCGCGAATATTCCTCTATCATCGAAGATTCGACCAACGTCTTGCTCCAAGTCATCAATGACGTCCTCGACTATTCCAAGTTGTCCTCAGGGTCTTTCACTCTACATCCCGATACTTTCAGTGTCGACAGTATCACAAACGCGGTCGTGCGTAACTGCAAGGGCGCTCTGAAACCCGGCGTCCAAATGACCAGCTGCATCTCACCCAACTTTCCGTCCCAGGTCGAGGGAGATCCGTTGCGGTATCGCCAGGTCCTCCAGAATCTTATTAGCAATGCAGTCAAGTTCACCGAGGAGGGCTACGTCAAGATTAACACCACTTTTTCCGAAGATGCGGAGGATCCCAGTATATATAACATCCGGACCGAGGTTGCGGATACGGGAGTCGGTGTTCCCGAAGATGCTATGGGCTCGTTGTTCACACCGTTCACACGCTTCGCCGAGTCTGGTTCGAAGAGGTATCAAGGTACGGGCCTCGGCTTATCGATCTGTAAGAGTTTGGCCGAACTCATGGACGGCAGTGTCGGATACCGGCCCAATCCTGAGAGAAATGGCAGTGTCTTCTGGGTCACGGCCAAGATGCGTCGGGTGAGCGTGACGCCGCCCGCTAGAACGACTGGGACACCCGTTGAAGACGTCGGTGATATCGAGCGAAAGATCCATGACATTGCTCCTCACAAACACGTTCTCCTGGTTGAGGACAACCTGGTCAACCAAATGATGATGCTCAAGCTTCTCCAGAACATGGGCTTCGCGCGGGTTGATACAGCATGGGATGGAGCAGAGGCGGTTCGACTGGTCAAGCAGCAGCCTTTATCCTACAATACAATTCTTATGGATATTGGCATGCCGGTGCTGGATGGTGTACAGGCGACACGACAGATCCGGCAAATGGAACTAGAGATGCCCATCATTGCGCTTACAGGGAACGTTTTGCCAGGAGATATAGAGCATTATATGAAGCAGGGAATGAGCGACCATATCGGGAAACCCATCCATCAGAAACAGTTAATGCGTCTGCTCTGGAAGTGGATGGGGACATGATGGCCTGGCAAGCTTGCCCTCTTTCTTACTCTCAGCAATTGCTGGACTACAAACAACTGTCCTAAATGTGCCATTATACCAGCGATCTCTGACATGCTTCACGCGCATACAATTTTTTTGTTCTCGGACGACCGACTAAAGTCTGTCCCCGAACAATAAACCGAGCATTACTGACACCGCTATCGCGTTGAACCAACCTGCCCATCACGCTGCAAAGCAGTACGCTCTAGGGCAGTCGACGTGACGAGCCCAGGTGCTCAAGAACAGAGAACCATTCCTGTAAAGTGGATTGGTTTCCAAGACTACAATATGCAAGACACATGATCTTCTCTTATCATGACGCTTACGATGGGAACATACTACCTCAGTTTATGAATAGAGCATTCGATACCACCATACCATACCATACCATTTCTGTACTGTATTGGCTAATCTAACAAATTTCCAGGCTATCAGCACTGCTGGGCGATGACTGATGGATCAACCTGGATACAATTTTTGGGATATGTTTATTGGGTAAATGAAAAGTGCCGTTACCGTTTGCATTATATTGTTCTTGTAGGGGAAGCATCCATTGCCTGTATAGTTAGTAGGTAGCGCCTTGTTTAGGACATGGACAGTATACCAGATATATTACACTCCCTCGATCCCCAACTTCCATCCATCTTGCTCTCTTCTCTTGTCCCCAAACTGTAAAACAGCAGCAGCAGCAGCAGCAGTAGTACGTAGTGATGTACCAAGAATATAGTACCTTAGTAAGGAACAAAACAAAATCCCCGAAACCACTTGAAACACAGACTATGCGACGGTTACCGCGCCCTTGTTTGGCACAGATACACCAGCAAAAGTGACATGTTAACTTCAACTTGAATGCACGTATATAATCAGTTACTCTGGCTGCTAAGTAGATTCGATGTCATCATATTGGAGGCGCGGGGGGCGGGGGAGGGAAAGGGGGGGGACGTGCGCTGCTGCACGACACTACTTTGGGTACTGGGGTTGGGCTGGGTGTGGCTTAGATACTAAGTAGTATTTTTATGAGGTGTATGACTGGTCATGGAGAATGTACTCCGTACATGTGGTAGTTGGTTTAAATTAGTAACTTACTTGTCCCGTATGCATGTATGTATGCATGATGTAGTATGTATGTATGGATAGATGGATGGAAGGGGGCTGGTTCAAGGGGCTACACTTATGTACTATGATATAAATAGTGATTTATTGTTACTGTGAAGAGTGGATGTTCCATTTTTTTTTGTCGGGAAATCAGCACAATGATCTATTATTATATTATGTCCATGAAGTGGTAGGGAGCATTGACGGCCCGCTCAATCATGGTTCGATGATGATGATGGTGAGAAACACTCGTTAACTTTATAATGTCCATCCTGACCCGTCTCACTCCTGGCTATGCTGCAGCCTTGGGCATGATGCTTTCATATGAATGACTAAAATAGAAAAGGGAAAAAGATAAAACAACAAGGATGATGAAAATGAATACATAAGATGCCGAGTAGATATAAGCACCGGACAAAAAATGTAATAAAAATAGATACTCCTTAATAAAGGGGGAAAGAAGATGTTAGAATTCTGTTCTGAACAAGGTCCAAACAAGGCTGTCGTAAATGTTCCCGTTCATACAATATAAACAAACCCCATGATGAGAAAATTCATACAGTCCACGTGAGTGGTGGATTGTGGATTGGGAGATACATAAATCTCCACAGGAATGGAGATACTCCTGAAATGATAGTTCAGTTCTTGGAGTTGACGGGCTTGCCGTTGATCAGCACCTGCGGAGTCTGGTTTTCCTTGCCACGTGCAGTCACGGTGGTTCCCTCAACGCCGGTAGCAAGGGTGGCGTGGGTGTTCGTGTCCGGCACAGGGACTTCCTCCTCCTCCGAGTCTTCGTCTTCACTTCTCTCGTCCTTCTTGACGTTGGTGAAGATGTAGTTCTTCAGGATGCGCAGGATCAGGAAAAGCCAGAAGAGGTTCACAGCTTGCAGACTGGCCAACAGGGCAAAAGTAATGTACTGACTGATCCAGCACTTGTACTGTTGAGTCTCCCAGTTCAGCTCGAACGGTCCAACCGTGCGGAACTCGGTCAACACAGCCCAGAGGATCTTAAGGTTCAGATAATGGCGAAGGTAGATCCACATTCCCACAAACATACCAAAGTAAGGAACAGTGATGATGTGGTCGAGGTAGTTCAAGGTCTTGGAGGTCTGCATGGCAACTCAATTAGCACAAAGAACAGAAGGAGTGTAGACTTCGAATTCGGTTACTCACAGCAAGGAAGAAATCCGAGATGTCGTGCGTGATGTAGACGGCGATACCCATGTAGGTGAAGTGGAAGCGATAACTCAATCCGATCAAAGCTAGAGTGATGATGTGGTGTCCCACCAGCTCCTTGAAATCCTTGCGCGGCTTCTCCAGCTGCAGCATCAGGACAATCGCCTGCTGGGCCCAGTAACTAGCCTCGAGCAGATAGAATGCCTTGAACAACCCTTCGTGCTCCCGGTGGGGGAACCCTTCGAACATGGCCGTAGTGTTGAAATACCAGATATCCGACCGGCTCATGACGTACAGACCAAATGGACCGAAGATGCCAAAGTAGATCGCAGTGTAGACCTGCTCCATGAAACGAGCAGTCTTACCCCGGCCCCGAATCCCACAGTATACGGCGAAAGGCCGGATCAGGCGCTGCATCAGAAATTCCCGAGTAAATGACAGAACAATCGTGTAGAACGAAACAAAGGTAATATCCTTAGGGCCCTTCCCATACATGATCGGACCACCAGGGACCTTCGGAGGCAGAGGATAAGACAAGAAGATGGCGCTATGCATGGGATTGGACTCGGTCGGGTTGATGGCATAGAGTGACAGAAGAACGACGAGCATGAGGAGAGGCAGAAGCCAAGTATGCTTGAGACACGCATCCTTGAAGCGACGGAGCGGGGACTTCTTGCGGCGCTTCGTATGCGGCTTGGAAAGTTTCTCGGCGGATTGATTCTGCAAGGCCTGGGGGAGGAGTGAGCGGGGGAATGGAGAACCCCAGCGAAAGTCGACTTCGAGTCGTGAGAGATTCATACCTTGTCCCATTTAGGCGCTTCGGATTCAATGGGGCTGACTTCGTTCATGGTGGACATGGCGGGAGCGGTGGTGTCTCCCCGAATATCCGCCCCCAGGTTACTGGACCTTCTCCGTACACGAGCCATGATTGTGTCGTCCGAATATTCTGTTGATTATCCTTGACGATCGAGTAGTCGCCGTTCTCACTATTTATCGATTAGAGCGAGGGAGGGGAAGAGAGAAGACGGGACAAGATACCGAGCGGAGCGGAATGGGCGAAACGAGGATCGAGAGTAGAAGAACCTCGGCGATCGAATTGAACAAGGATCGGACGGGTATGAAAGGGAGGGACTCGAATAAAACCCCAAGACAAATAGTATTACAAAAAAAAGAAGACGACGAAGCGAATAAATAGAGAAAAAAAGAAGTGAGAAATTGGACCGGGGAAGGGAAAAAAAGACAGGCTGGAGGAGAGCGACAGCGAGGAGAGTGAGAGAGTGAGAGTGAGAGAGTTGAGCGGGTTGATGTCAGTCGTGCGAAGGATCCACTTTCTGTTGGCCAGGGGTTCCCTTTTTTCTTTCTTTCTTACTTTTTTTTTTCTTCTTGTTTCTCCACCGGCTCCTCTCTCTTCCTCCCAACCAGTCCATGGATGATCGTCGGCTTTGCCGGACCATCCCCAAATCATCCTTTTCTCGTCTTAGCTTGCGAATCATAAGCATTCACTATTTTATGATCGCATTTGCATAATAACGCACATACACACAAATCGGATATGTTAGTGTATTAATTATTACTGTGGTTGGGATACTCACAACACAGTGTCGTCTAGTCTGGGCAACGGAACGAATACGACCGAATTGGGGATTGATTCGAGGATTCCCGACCCCATCGAGGCTACCTTGGATCTGAGGCAAGATTTGTTTGTTGTACTAGCCCCCGATCCCCGTGCAACTAAAATCTACCTAAATAGGGGGGCTTTTCAGTTCCAGGATAAGCTACCACCGCCACACCCTTGCTCCGTGCGGAGTCGTATTCTCGCCAAATCCTTTGGCTGGCCCGAACTGGAAGACCTTGCGATGAGTATGGAGTAGTTTCACCAATGGGCTGGGGTTGAGGAGATGAATGTACGTGTCCTCCAGGGAGAAAGGCCACGATGACATACGAAGAACAACACTGTCTAAGCCTCATTGCGAGTGACTTATAGTATACAACACGAAAATAAGCAGAACTCACGACCGCCTCTGCCGGTCTAGAGCGGATAAATCCTCCGTAATCGAAAGTCTACGAGAACCATACCAGTTCCAGCATGGCTCGCATAGTCAGTCTTCTCCTCTATTCTGAAGCCTGTTCACAACGGCGTGGCTATCTACAAAGTTTTAATTTTCCGTCCCAGCCTCTGAATCCAGGGAGTAGTGACCAGCCTTGTCGGTGACAGCGAACAGCGAATTGCATCTCCAGGTTGTCACCGAGAACCATTGTCAGCCTCGGTATACCGCATCGACTATACTGAGATCTGCAACTGCGGCGATAAATTCTGCAGTCGCATGCCAGACTAGCCTCAATATTAGACAGGAGTGGAGATCACTTTCCCTAATCAAGAGGGTAATCGAGTAGTAAGTGCTAAGGGGGTCAACCATTTGTTTCAGTCGCACTGGCTTCTAAATCGAACCGAACAATGAGTTGTATATCATCTGTAGCCAGCCAAACATCTTATAATAAGAATAATACCAAGTGAATATCAGGTCAATGATGAAAGTAACCCGGGGCTTACCGAGAAAAGAAGCTCCGTTGCTGGGGTAGCCGCGCCGGTGGACGCGTTAAGTGGTTTTTGCCCGCGAATCGATCTTGACCGCATCGGTCCAACTTGGATCATGCACGATGCTGCTGATGATGCCTGACGTTTGACATCTGCCTGCTCCAGAAGATATGAGGATCTATCCGCCACATTCCTCTTTGCTCAAGCTCAGATGCAGTCAGCCCCCGACTGCTGCACCCCTGGAATCCTCACCCTCCTCTTCCCCGATCCATCACCGCTGTCTCCCCGATGCCACTCCGTCAACCCGCTTCCCCGCTCTCCTTGGAAACAATCTCGCCTTCCCCGCCAGACCTCGACTCCGATCCCCTTATCGCTTCCGACGATGATCTAGATGAAGGCGACCGGGCTGCTCGGGATCAGCGCATAGAGAAGCTGGCCCAGGCCTATTGCCATGGCACCCCACTTTTCATCTTGTCCGCTTCACTTCGCGGACCCTTCGATAACGGATGGACCAACCCCTGGAGGAAAGACAGGCAAAAGACCGGTGGCCATATACGGACAGGAGGGAAGCATTTGGAACATCCGGAAAGACCTATTATCCCAGAGACAGTGCCGCAGAAACGGCCCCTATACCGCGAATCGCTAGGCATATCTCGCTCGAAGTCTGCTGTTCCTCTTTCCGACCCATCATATTCCACGAAGAAAAGAGAGTCTCAAGGTGGCACTACGGGGGAACCATCGTCCAAACGGCCACGAGATAGCCGTGGTCGGACATCAAGCTCGAACAATACACCAAAGCCAGTCGCACTGCACAAGAGGACAATTGAGACCAGTGGACACTTGGATGCGTTGACCCCATTCCAGCATACAGAGCAAAGCTGGCTGAAGAGGGACCGTGCAGAAATCAACTTCCGGAAAGTCGATCCACCCACTTCTCCTACAACTACGATATCGTCTCGATATCGGGAAGGAGGGCATTACACAATACAAGTTCCGGGCACAGATTATCGAGTCACAACGAAGAATCTTATCAGAGCAAGTACAGGCTCTCGAGACGAGACTACCTTTGACAGTCGTGTGCCGGACAGTGTCAAAGCTCAACTCACCAGCAGACACCCTGGTGTCCGATCAGAGATGGAGGACCTCGAGAACTCGATTTGTGTACTTTCGTCAACTTCCCACCTATCGAAGTTTGAATTTCGTCGTAGGAAGCGCTCCGCTGATCCGGAACATAGCACCACCTCGCCAGTCCCGGTGCACGCGGATAATGAACAGATATCTCACCAGACAACTGCTGTCGAAGACAGCCGGGTCTCAAATCATTCCGCACCAGTACCTCCAAACGCAACTTCAATGCAGGCCGTTGAAGCCGATGTGCGTATGACCGAAGATAATCCGCACAATCCAATCGTATCCGACCGTTCTGGTACTGTTGATCACCCGGGAAACTCTCAGTCACGGAAAGTATCATCAACCACCACCGCTGAAGGTGTCAATATCAGCGATAAATACCCCTCTGCCCAGCGAGTGCCGGTAAATCCAGCTCTGGCTGAAAATGTCACCTCACTGCAAACGATCTCCGCGGCGAAGCCCAATTCAGAATGCGATAACGACACCATTCCGGACCCACAGTTCAACACACAGGCAGCGCTATTGCACGCGCAGAAATCCTTCCAAAATGATCTGGAGAGCCAAGTTCCCAACCCAGGAGAAACTCACAACCAACCTTCATCACCCGCCAACGACATTACCCCCTTCCATCGAATGAATACCAGCAGAGTTGGTAAATACTCCCGAGCAAGACCCCCAGGAACTGCACATATGCCAATGAGCACACAATGCATCATCGACGCCGTCACGCCCTTCACCTTTAGCACAGAGAAGAAAGCCAGGTCCCGATTCATTTCTCCCCAGATGCCATCGTCGAGTAGGATAGATCGGGGGACTGCCACCCCTAACACAGGCTCACCATTATCCTCGGAATCGGAAGACGAGGACGAGGATGAAGACGAAGACGAAGACCCAACCATCCTCCCACTCAAATCCCCTGCTGCCCAACAACAAACCCCAGACGACACCCAACAAAGCAGCGCATTGCCAATAGCTTTGTCAAACTCCCATCCTACCACCATCCAAGACGGCCAAGGTGTCGCCCCTGGCCCGGACAGCTTCAACCTAAGCCAGGCAATCGCCGACGCGGGGAGCTGGTTACAGCAGAGCTTCGACATCAATCATGAGATCCAGCAGTGCAAGAGCAGCGCCAAGTCGAGACCGTCGTCTTCGGCGGGGATTAGCCGCTCGGCAGTAACGTTGGATAGGTGAAGGACAGAGATTATTACATGCATAGGAGGCGTACTGGGCTTTGTTTTCTACAATTTTATTATTTAGTAAGGGGTGGGTATATAGATGTCTTTGTGGTTTATTTTGTTACATGCCTTTATGCCCTAGCGTTGCACTGGACTCGCTTCAATTTGGACAGTCTTCTATTTTTCTTTGGGCAGCGCGATTGATATCCTTGTATATACTAGTTCATAGATGGTTTCCGACATGGATACTCACATGTTTCATTTGTGCATAAGTATATTGTAGAGGATAAACTCCTGCTACTAAATAGAAGCTTGTCTATACAGTCTTGGACATCAAGTATAATGTCAGTATGATTGATTCTTAACTTGTTAAAGAGCCAAGTCTTCCAATTATTGTAATTGAAACAGACAAAGGCGAGATGAGGCGCCGAGGGCGACTATACCTTTCACAGAAAAGAAGGTATTTACCCCAGCGCAACAAGTCCCTAACAAAGACCAGTCTCGCCCTTATTATCTTCCGGCTTACTGAGAAAAACCCGAGTAAATAATTCAACCGGTGCCTTATCCCTCCATTCAAAGCTGTAAAGCTTCGACTGTCTAATCACCAGTTTTCCTTGGTACATACATGCAGCGAAGATTCTGGCATGTTGTGGAAGGACACAAGAAATGAGCAGAACAGGAAATATTTCCTCATCAGGAAAAGTGAGTAACCAAGGCCGGGGTAAGATGTCTCTGTAATCCTCTCCGGCCTCGTCTCGTTCATATAGTTCCTTCCGTTTTGACTCCGAATCGATCCTTGGTTGATATGCGCGACCTCGCATGGCTTTAACCAATGTACTGAATTCAGAAAAGAGGATTGAGTTTTCGCGAGCCTCTGTTCTATCAACGAGGTGGAGGGCGATATGGGGGCATTCATTCCCATTAACAGGTTTGGGCTCTACCGCAAGAGGATTTGTCCACAGACCTGTTCTACCGTAAGGCCTTGCGAGGTTAGCTTCTAAGAAGAAGGTAGTGTCAGGCTGTCTGATATATTATAAATATCTTGTTAGAGAGGAGGATCATCCGCTATAGAATGCATTGAAAGATAAACTTACACAACAACCTGGAGGTTTTGATGAGACATTGCTTTGCCGGTTGCATGGATTGAAATGACTTTTGAAATCTGACGGCAACGGGAGGAAGTCGATACTGGCAATCCATCGTGGGTCTGTTCCTCGTCTATATTGAACATGCGGCGCGCATGTACAGGATCAGGTGGGTACATTTTCAACTCGGCGGACTGCATCGGTTCAAAGTAGATTGGCGGGACCAGTTCTTTGTCCAAATGCTCGAAATCAAATTCCATCATATGTTCAACATTCTCGAGGTCATGGAGATCTATGTGGCCGTCATCAGGCACACTATCTTTGATTTCCAGAACATGTTCATAGAGTTTGTCAAGAACTTGGCGAACCATACCGTTATCTGAAGGCATTGTGCAGGAACTATCGATTGGAGCAGACATTTGACTTTTTTTGAATGGGTACTTAGTTGTCAGTGGGATGCGTGAATTCGTATGTGCAGCGTGGCGGTTGTATTATATTGTTGTTGACAATTAGGTGAGAGCCACTCTGCGAAATCTGCATCGGAACTGTTCAATGCTAGCATATATAGGCTTGGCTGTGAAGTTCGGTAGCAAAGATACTGTTCACCCACATGATCAATTTTACTGGTATCTCCCGCATCGAAAAGGTGTCTAGTGGAGACGGCTCTGTAGCAGGTATTTTATTATTTCCAAACGGAAACCATAGTAGCGGGGAGTGCCTTCTATACAAACCCACAACACTGATGTTATTAATGCTCTATGGACCCAGTCCAAGAGGGTTATGATCCTAACACTGCTATTTAATGGCAGATTCCGAATTTCGGCAAGCATGACCGGGCAGATACTATGTAACAAGCAGAACATCAGGTAGTTTGGGTGCGTACACAAAGTGTCAAGATTCTCTCAATTGCTAAAATGCACAAAAGCCAAGAAGACAAAGGATAGGTTGAAATGTTTCACTTGAAGAGACCATGCATCAACCAGGGATCAAACAAGAGCTCCTTCGCAGTAGCTCTTTCCTCCGGTAGCCAGCAAAGCATGCGCCTGAGGAATCGCAAGAAGTCTTCCTTTTCGCTGTCTTCAAGTCTTTCTTCCAGACTCGAGATCGTGATCCGGAATTGGAACTGGACCTTTCCATTGGCCTAGAAGCAAAAATGGCGTTATTACTTCTAGTGCATTTACACGACGGCTTCGGGCATGGGAGGGTTGTACAAACCGTTGGCATCCCAAAATGGGAGCGACCTCGCGCTTCGAGCGAGAAACTCCGCAGGAGGCCTTCCTAGAACAGCTTGCATTTCTGCTAAATGTTGTCCATCATCCAGCTTTCCCTCGTCATTCCGGGCCTTGAAAAGGTGACGATGTTCTGAAAGATCCCAAATCTTCGGCTGCTGTCAGCCTTTCATCAAAAACCGGTACCAAGCTAATAAGTCACTTACCACCATCCCAACGTTCCAAATGTCAACTTTGTTGTCCCACTTCATATTCAGGATGACTTCCGGTGCGCGATAGATATCAGGCATGATATCACCTTCTTGATTGTCTACCCCAAATCGACCCTCTCCCAAGTCACAGAGCACAGGGGTGCCAGAGGAAAATAGGGAGTGGTCGTGAGACGTAGATTGTACGATCTGAAAGAGGCTTTCGGGGTACAGGACCTTCAACCTCCGCTTCTTCAAAACGCGATAAGATTGAAGTATCTTTGATACCAAGAAGAATGTTATTTGTTTGGATGTCTGCAGTAACAGTCAATCCTGCCCAAGAGCAAGTCTAACCGTGGCAGGTTAATATCCCGCGTGAGAAGCTGGGTGGCCGACCTGTATGTATGACTTGTGCTTCGGTATGAAGGAAGTCTAGAGCCGCGAGAATATTCCGCATGGTTGTTCTCACCATAGAGCTGCTCATGACCTTACCAGGGAGGAGTAGTGTGAGCTGGTCGAGGCTTATGCCCAGCGGTGGATGCACCAGGCATGTATGCTTTCTTTGCCCATCAGGATTCTGAACCTGAAAGGTGTCAATCAACGATCGCAGACATGACTGGCCTGCGTGATCGGACTGTATTGTTTTAGGTGGTTATAAATCTCAATTTCCTGAGAGACGGATGTTGAGGTGATGTAAACCTTAAGTGCTACATGACAGTTGCCCCTATCTCGATGAGATTAAGTTCAAGAAATGATCAATCAGTAGGCCTACAGTAGATCACGGCATAACCACACTGTCGCAGTTGATCCATAGCCAAGCTTGCCGACCACCTGATACCGATGGTTGAAAACTTCACCAATACGAACCGGATAGAACTTCTCGGGTTTACAAGTTGAAATATTTTCTTCTTCAACCAGGAAAGAAGGGTCGATGTTCTCCCATCCAGAACTGGGGAAGACTCGGGGTTCTGAGTGGAACTGAAGATCAGTTATAGTACGCGCGCTTGGCCTTATATATGATATTCTTGCAATTGATGAGTATCTTGATATGCAAACAGATGAGTGGTACTGTTTATATAGCCGGTAGAGTTGTCGCCTTGGCTCCATGGTGGGTTGGTGGTCAAGTTGATTGCTTCCTGGGGTTTGTTTTGGCCGAATTCGGATGTCACATGCTTGGCTGGATATATCACCATTTGTCAGCCACAATTACTTCTACAAGCATAAGAGTAGTAGTTGTGGGAAGTGTTCAGGTGGCAGTTCGGGCTTTGGTTGACTGAATTCCAATCGCTCGGGTACTTAGTAGTTGTGGCATACTTTAAAAGTCTGGTGGTAGTATATGTATATATACTGCCTAGTATCATCGGCATTCTACCTTTTTCGCGTAAGTAGCTATCTAGAAAATAATCCTGGTCGCTCTTGTCCTGCGATCCTTTGAAGACTTTAGGTACAATTGGAGATTCCAGTTTAAAATTATCACTGATTATAACAAGTCAGGAAGCGCTTTTGATTTCTGCTGGAGATGATGGATTGTTTTCATACTAGATAGATTTGATGACGTCGGAAGACCCAGGGGAGTTGGGGACACTAAGGCGGCGCTAGTGCGGCGGAGTTCATCCACTGCCAGCATCGGTCACCGCAGCTTGCTTCTCATCGCATCCTTGCTATCGTTGTCGTTGGTCCACGGGTGGGCCACGTCCAGATGGCGTTGACATCAGTAAGGGAATTCATTCTATGCTGAATGCGATTGGGTCTCAAACTAATCCGACTCACGTGGAACTAGTGGAAAGCGTTCAACTTCTTCGACGTCTCCGCAGTGAAGCTGCCGGAGGAGAGCTCCTCAATCTTCAATGTACCCCCTCCCTCCCTTGGCCTCTCCCCTACACAAGTCCGTCGCGCTTACACTTAACCTTGGAATGACACTAGTCTGACATTATCTCCCTCTCCACCGGCTCTGCGAACATCTTCCTCGGCTCCAGCGATGGCTTTGTCCATATCATCTCGACGAACTTCAAGCTTGTCCGGTCATTCAGGGCATCGGAGACTGGATCGATCGCGCACATCAAGCAGATAGAAGGGACCTCATTGTTGGTAACAATAGCGGAGGATCTCCCCAGTGAGGCAGCTCTGAAGGTCTGGGCCCTCGACAAGTCCGAAAAGAAAACCGGTGCCCCTCGATGCCTATCGACAACCCACGTCCAGAACGCCAGACGGATGTTTCCCGTACGTATAATAGCTCGAAATGCGCTACCCTCTTTGTCGGCTTGATACTAAATGACTGCGGGGCAGGTATCTGCTTTCGCGGCGCTCGATGATCTGTCGCAGGTGGCAGTTGGTTTCGCGAATGGATCCGTTACGATTATTCGTGGTGATCTGATCCACGACCGCGGCGCCCGACAGCGGATTGTGTTTGAATCGGAGGAGCCAATCACGGGACTAGAGGTGCAGAGTGGTCCCGTATCGACCTTGTATATTTCGACTACGAATCGCATCTTGGCCCTGATTATATCTGGAAGAGGACAGGGACAACCGGCTCGCGTACTCGATGATATGGGATGTGCTGTTGGCTGCCTAAGCTTGGATAGAGACACGGGCGATGTTCTTGTCGCCCGGGAGGATGCGATATATACGTATGGACCACATGGCCGGGGCCCGAGCTACGCCTTTGAGAGTCGTAAAGACTCCGTCACCACTTTCAAGGACTACGTGGCTCTGGTTTGCCCACCTAGGGATACGACCAGCAAGCCCGACACTCTGCGAAACATTGGCGTCGGGCAGGCAGACGACATCTTCAAGACAACCACATTCACCCTGCTCGATACTGATTTGAAGTTCATCGCGCATTCCGAGTCCCTCGTCTCTTCCGTGAAGAACATCTTCGTTGAATGGGGCGATTTGTTTCTCCTCACTACGGACGGAAAGGTATGTTCATATCATTGAGTGTCATAGCTATGGCTCACACGAATCAGCTGTATCGGTATCGTGAGAAAAGCCTCCAGCAGAAGCTCGAAATTCTGTACCAGCGCAATTTATACATCTTAGCGATCAACTTAGCACAGAAGACCGGCGTTGATACACTTCAGCAGAATGCGATCTACCGGAAATACGGTGATTTTCTGTACCAAAGAGGTGACTACGACACGGCAATGCAACAGTACCTTAGAGCGATTGATAACACGGAGCCATCTCAAGTGATTCGGAAGGTTGTATCCTCCGCAGCATTAGCAGAAGAAATTTGTCGCTAATGGTTACATAGTACTTGGATACTCAACGGATACACAATCTCATCGAGTACCTTGAAGAGCTTCACGATCATGACCGGGCCACAGTCGATCATACCACCCTGCTCCTCAACTGTTACGCAAAGCTGAAGGACACTGGCAAGCTTGATGCGTTCATCAAAGCTCCTGGTGAGCTGAAGTTTGACCTGGAAACGGCAATTGCTATGTGTAGGCAAGGTGGCTACTATGAGCAAGCGGCGTACTTGGCTACGAAGTATGGCGAGAATGATATGGTGGTCGATATCCTGATCGAGGACTCCAAGAAGTATGCGGAAGCTGTCGAGTATATTTGGAGGTTAGACCCGGAATTGGTTCGTGCACTCTCATCGATACGACCCTACTTTGATCACTGACAATTCCAGGCCTACCACAATCTAATGAAATATGCCCGAGTACTGCTATCCAACTGCCCTGAGAAAACCACAGAGCTTTTCATCAAGTACTATAAGGGCCAATATACTCCGAAGACCGAGGTCGAAGCGCCGTCCATGGAACCCCAAGCACAGCCGACCAGTACCTTGCAGAGTTTAGCTGCTTTCCTACCCTTGTCTTTGATTAACGCTAGCGCGGGCTCAAAGCCGGAAGTAGAAGCACCGCCAGTCGAAGACAAGGCTACCGAGGAGTTGGTGGAGTATCAGATACCCAAACCACGAACAGCATTTTCGGCGTTCGTGGGCCATCCGGATGAGTTCATCTCCTTCCTGGAAGCTCTCATTCAGCAGGATAACCTGAAAGAGGATGATAAGATAGACCTCTACACGACTCTGTTCGAAATGTACCTGGATACTGCAAGTCGACAGAAAGATGCCGCGCAGAAGGTTGAATGGGAGGACAAAGCAAAGAAGCTTATTGAAGGCAAGGATGTAAGGAGACTCACTTGTTTCCTTTTGCTGAGGTTTGCTAATATCCGTTCAGATACCAATCTCCACGTCGAGTGTGCTTCTTCTTTCTGATCTTTCTGGCTTCCGTGAGGGCTCCACGCTCGTACGGGAGCAAGAAGGCCTCTTGTCAGACATCTTCAGGTCGTTTACCTCCGCGAAGGATACTCAGGGTGCCATCAAAGCGTTGAAGAGATATGGCCCGGAGAAGCCTCAATTATATGTGGATGCACTTACGTACCTCGCCTCGAGCCCGCAGATTCTGGAAGAAGCTGGCGATGAATTGGACGCCGTGCTTAAGAAAATTGACGAGGGAGGGCTTATGACACCACTTCAGGTTATTCAGACTCTGAGCAACAATGCAGTTGTCACAATGGGTCGCTTGAAGAAGTACCTCAGTGACAATATTGAGCGGGAACGAAAGGAGATCTCTACTGTTGGTTGCCTTCGTATTCATTGACTTCCTCAAGCTAACGATTATGTAGAACCGCCGCCTGATATCTAGCTATAGCACCGAAACGGAGAACAAGAGGAAGGAGCTTGAACAACTGGGTAGCAAGCCTGTTGTCTTCCAGGCCCGTCGGTGCATGTCCTGTGGTGGCGCCCTGGACCTCCCTACGGTGCACTTCCTTTGCAAGCATTCATTCCACCAACGGTGTCTGAACCGAGTGGACGAAGACGCTGAATGTCCTGCTTGCGCACCCCAGAACTCCACCATTAAAGCCATTCGGAAGAGACAGGTCGAGTCTGCAGACCAGCACGATCTGTTCAAGGGTGAACTGCAACGCTCCAAGGACCGATTTGGGGTGGTCAGTGAGTTTTTCGGGCGGGGTGTGATGCGACCCCAGAGTACTATGGAATGATGAGGCATGTAATGAATTGGAAGATACCTTTATGTAGATGCATCATGTTGTTTTCTGTTCTTGTTCTGCCCGCTTTCTGAGAACTTATACCTCAGGCACCAAATGCTTATCGGCACGTGCTTTCGCGTCGCTCCGCTCCCCGGATTTGCGGGACGCGAGTGAACCACCAGCCAGACTCATAGCCTTAAATGATACCAGATCGTGTGTTCCTTCAATTCTACTTTCCAGGCGTATAACTAGACGGATCCAATGTCCTCTAGCCGTGTGATTCAGGACTCCGACGATGAAGACGATCCTTTGGCGGGGCCCATCTCCCCCCGACCTAGAGTCGATAACACAGATCTTGACATCCGGGTGGGTTCAGGACATCATCAAGCCCATCAGACCGGTCATGACTCGCACATTAATATCAATTTCGATCAATTTCTGCAATCGCAAGAATCCGCGCATTATGGGATCTCATCCTCCCAGCAGCGAAGAGAAGCTCGATGGATACCGGCCGATGCGGGGGGCGGATCGATTGGTGAGGGATACGCCGAGTCCATGATTGTTTAACCACTGACAAGCATACCTACATCCATAGGGTCAATGATGACGGAGATCGGAATTGCACAGCAACGACTATTTGACGATGATGAAGCACACTATACTGAACAATCTGGGTATCAGTACAGCGGTGACATGGACACCGCGCAGACGGAATCGGCAGCTGTTCAGAAACAAATAGCTGCAGAATTCCCCCCGCATGACGATATCGCCTTAGTACCTAATGAGCATCCCCATGGCTACTCAGAACAACCGCCCCTATATACTGAAGCGCAGCCTGATATATCCGACACTCTGCCCTACGGAACCGGACAGCACCCGCTTGACGCAGCGAACCTATATACCCACCAGCCAACCGCGCAGCCCAATGATCATACGAGCTTCAACTACTCAGTTACGACAGGCGCATCCTACAACATGTTCGAATCGTCTCTCCGCCCGTCAGGCAGCTTTGACCCAGAGACTAACATCCCTACCCATGCAACCGGCACCGTCGACACCGAGATCGCGTACAAATCCCCTCGACGATCTGACTCCGTCCCACCCGTCCCCTTCTCCCCACACGACACAGAACCATTCTCCTCCGTGGTATCCCCCAAAGCCGGCCGATCGAAAAGCGACAATGCAGTGCAGCAATCCCAGCAAAGCGTTGATGAGCTCAATGGGCCAGTAACCATCGACATCCCCGTGGCGGAGAAGAAACAACGAGGCCGCAAGAAGAAACAAACCATCCCCGAGCACGACGAAGGCGACGAGCTAGCCCAGATCCATACCCCTACTATAACCCAAGATGCGACGACCACGATTACCACTACCACTACCAACAACAAACCCGAAAAGCGCAAGCCAGGCAGACCCCCAAAGAACCCCAAACCACCACGCAACGAAGACGACGACCAGCCAGGATTAATCTCAAACGACACCACCGCATTCCCTATACCTCCAGAAACCACCAACATCTCAACCGACCCTCTCACAACAACAGAACACCAAACCACTACAACCACCACCGACCCGACCCCACTAAAGAAACAAGCCAAAGAGCCGAAAAAGAAGAAACTCAAACGCGGCAAAACCACCTCCATAACCCTAACAAAGACATACGAATCTGACGTCGAAGACGACGTAATCTGGGTAGACGAACGACCAGTCTCTACAACAATCACCCCCCAAACCGAAGCAGAAACACAACAACCCGGCAACAACCCCGAACATGAAGAGACCACTCCCACAATACAAAACCAAGAACTAGTACCCGAACCACAGCCAGCACCAGCACCCAAAAAGCGCGGCCGCAAACGAAAGAACCCCGTCGAAGAACAACCACCCGCTCCCGCACCAGCTATAGATCCCCAGCAATCATCAGATAAAGAAAACAACCCAGTACCTGACCCCAACTTAACACCACATGACGACGCAAGACCACAGCAGGACCCAAACCAACAACAACGTCAAGAGAAAGAGGCCGAGAAGGAGAACGAGGACAAGAGCGAGCCCCAACAAGAACAGAATTCAACCCCATCCACGCCCCTAAAACCTAGTAAGGGACCAACGAAGCACAGTCCGATATCGTCCACGACCAAGGTACCTTACCGGGTTGGATTGAGTCGGCGAGCGAGAATTGCGCCGTTGTTGAAGATTGTCAGACGGTGATGTGCTATATGGGTGAGCGGTTTGTGGTTTGCGATTGAAGGGTTTAGTATCATTTTCATCATTGTGCTTGTCATTATTATTTCTGTCTTGTGGGGACGGCTGAGTCGTGGGTGCATTGTAACTAGTTTATTCGGCTATGACTGGGCATGAACTATGGACGGCGCGGAGCGCGGTAGCGCGGTATACCATCTGGCGTTGTGGATTTACTTGTTGATTGAAGGTTTCAACTTTTCCTTTCTATGCTCATCGGGCCATGCGATGTGATGCTATATTAGGGACAAGTCTATCAAGCATCATGTGCCATGCAATAGCATGAGTCAAATTGTAAGACTAGTCTAATGAAAGTACAGACCAACAGTTGTTTCTAAGCATCTCACTGTGTAAGATGATGCGCTCCCGTGACCGACTGTAGTATACACAGCTAAGCCGTTGTATGATATAAAGAAGGTCAGGCTTTCCGCCCACCATATCAGCTTAATCCATCAACACCACGAGGAACAACAATATCACAATTGCCACCGATGAGCTTAGCTGCAGAGCCCTCCCTTCTGACTTCGCCGGCTTCGTTGGTTTACCGGAACCAGCATTGGGGGCACCACCGCCTTTGACGGTACCAGCATTGTCGCCGCAATTACCATTATCAGGTCGACATCCAGAACCGCAAAATGTAGACATGCTGCCACAGAAACCAGTGCCACTGCAGCAAGGGCCGAACCGCGACCCAAGACAAGTGATGTTTCCACCACACATGCCATCAACTGATACAGTTTTGGCAACATCATTCTTGGATTTAGACTTTCGCGTTTGTCGATCGTCGAAGGCCTCGTCCTTACGATACCAGAGCTCAGGCGGATCACCCAGGCACTCGCCAACCGTCACGGCGCGGTAGCCCTCTGCGATAAGCTTCTTCAACATGTACTCGGTGAGGTTGTGGACCGTTTGTTCATGGACATCGTGAGCGATGACGAGCCAAGGCCTATCAAAATCCGTCCGTGAGGCCAAGTTGCGGTCAAAAATGTCCTTGGATTGTTGGATCAGAGCCGGGCTATCATGACTGTAATCTTCAGTGTCGATGTCGTACAGGATGACATGATATCCAAGCGAGCCAAGATCTTCCAGACAGCCTGACTCCGCGGTACAGCTCGAATACGGAGGACGCATGTAAGTAGGGATTGTGCCCAAAATGTTGCGTAGAGCAACTTCGTTCCACAGCAGCTGAACCCGGCGCTGATCTTGCGTGACTTTACTAAGGTCTTGATGTGACCAAGTATGGCTGGCAACTTGGTGGCCACTGCGATACATTCGTTGAATCAATGATGCCCAAGGCATCCCAGGACTATCAATTTCGCCCTTGGCATTGTTGTTTCCTGTAACAAAGAATGTCACTTTTGCTTCATACTTGTCAAGGAGATCGAGAAGGTCCTGAGTGTATTCCTTGGGGCCATCATCAAAGGTCAGGGCGATGGTTCCTGGAGTGGTACAAGACCGAATGAATTTTGGGCCGTAGGGTACGTTGCCTACATGAGGCCGAGGAATCTTGTCCGTAGGAGGGCCTCCTGGAGTTGTGTGGGCGTCGCAATTACCGAAGTCGATCTGACAGTCAGGAGAGCTGCAGTGGTTCTTGGTGTCCCCGCAATAACCTGTAGCTATCAGTACTGGCAAACTCGTCTACAAGTAGGTTGAAATACCAGCAGTTGAGCAGCATTTGCCCTCAGGACACTTGCCATGATCAGGGCCACAGCGAGGATTAGAACCACGCTCGACAAGCTTGTGATCAGGAGCATCTCCGTGAGTAAGGGGCAGAAGATGACTTCCTTGACGGTTAGGCTGCAAACTGAAGATGTTGCGCGCAGTCGTGCATGCCACAAGACCAAGCCCAGAAACAACCAAGCGAAGCATGTGCATTTTGAGATAGTATATTGTGATAAGATGTAATTCAGAGTAAACTGTGAGTAATGTAGACAGTGAGACTTGTACAGTTGATGAGATATGCTGTGGAAGAAAAGAAGAAGATGGTTGCAAGGTAGCAGAACTGCTTAGACGACCGGGCCTTTCTGATGTAAATGGAAGTGACGACCCTGCATGCAGGGCAAGAAGCTGCCGGCGAATGCGTTGAGACATTGCGACGGAAGGAGCTTATTCATAAGGATCAGTCGAAGAGATATTGCAATGACGGTCCGGCTGAATTAGAACAGGCAATGATTTGAAAGGAACGCTAACCTATTTCATAGATCATTGACTTGACTGGATGAAAATGTTCTCGACTACTATTCCCAAGATTAGGAAGTGCTGTGGAACTCCATTGATGGGCACTGGGGGGACGCTGCATTGCATTGCTTTCTTCTTTTCATTAAGGGTATGGTCATGGCATCCAGAGAACTGGAAGGCTCATCATGTCTATAAGGCGAGTCCTAATTACATGGGAAGCCGCCGTTCTGGTAATAAAACTTGAGGCTACCAGCACAAAATCATGTCCCTCACGCAATCGAGCCTACGGAAAGCGATATTGGGATCCGGTTGACTACTATAAAGCCGGGCCGTGAGCAAGGTTATAGAAGTGAGATAGGATCGTTGCCGACTTACTTGTGCTAAGTTATCCTCGCCAACAGCAGCAAAGACATAAGGGGCTAGTGTAGGAAGATGAGGACCAAACTTGGCCGGGGCACTTTTCGCTACACCACCGACAGTGGCAATGAGGTGACGCCGATGGACTGTACTAAGTTGTGGGGAGTTGAATCTTTGGACCAGCCCCTGGACAAAAGCGCTAAGTTGAGCATCGGAGAAGTGGAGCACGAGGGCAGATATGGCCGTCAGAGCCCTTTTGGTGACCACGGTGCCAGCTGTATCGTTATCGACGATAGACAGGACGGAGTTTTGCAAGGCAGTCAATTCGGGTTCTTTCAGCAGGGGGCCAAAGCAAGTGACAACCTGAATGAGTACATCAATAGCATCACTGCTGAAGCCCTTTGATGGATCCTTCTCCAACATGCCCTTGACGATCGAGCCACGCCGACTAGTAGGGGATGGAGTCGGGCCAGTCAATCGGGGAATGAGGACGCGAGAGACGGCCGAATATGCCATTGTCGCCTCCTGACTTGGAGGCTGACCCGGCTGCGGCCGAGGTAGAGCTGTCACAATGTATCTCAGAGCAGTATTCGGAACGGATGTGTCAATGGTTTGCGAGGCTGTCAGGTTGGTGAGCTTTTCGAGAAGAGATGCAAGGCTTTCGAAGGGCAGTCGAAGGACAAGAGGACCAAGACTAGACAATGTACATCGAGTTAGTCCGATTAAAGCATTTCAAGACAGGACTTTGACAAACCATTTCAGGGCTTGGTTCTGGACATCGCCATGTTGGTCATCCAAGGCCTTTAATAAGCCCTCAGCCAGTCTTGATGAGGAGACTTGGTCGTGAGCCAGATAGGTGGAATTAGGATTATTTAAAATGCCAAGTAGATCATTTAGCGACATGTATCGCATGTCCGGGTCAGGGTCGCTCAGTTTAGAGAGCAGGCTGTTAAGGCTGTGCTGCACCGACTGCCGGTCCGCCATGTTGAAGCCCCGCAGTGAGTTTCGGCGTCAGGATAGTTGAGAAGAAAGAGAACCCCTGAAGGTAAAGCGTGGGGAGCCTTAGAGAGTGTGTATCTCCAACAGTCGGTATAAGTTGTCACGCAACGAAATCAGGGATGAAGTTGGGACTAAAGAACCACCGAAGAAGCAACAAGTGGGATGATGAATGGGGAGGAGATAGAGTTAGAGTGGTGTTTGTTATCGGAGCTGCTTGTGCAGCCTCAGGCATGAACAAGCTCCTACGGCGGGCTCTTGAGACTATTAGTGCATGTTTCATACTTGACCGATTCAGCACCACGCAGTGACCTCAACAATGTGCATTTGACAGGGCCAATTGTGAAGAGCGTAAAAGGTCTTAGACTAGGCCATATTGCCTGCTTACCCTGCTATGGAAGACAAGTGGCCATAGCCTTCAGATGTTGAGGGTCCATGCGAGACGGGTCTAAGTACTACAAGAGCCAACGTTCTTCCCCGCACGGTGCCATTACATCATCCGCGGTAATTACAGGTGATAGTACATGGGGAGTACTTTGCTCCTCTATAGTGAGCAACGCTAATTACCAGGTAAACCAGCGAGTTAGTAACCGGTAAAATGACCGTGGCAGCAGGGAAGGAGAGCCACTCCGGCAGCTCCCGCTCCGAAGAAGTGGTGACCAGGAATGGAATTGCAACGTAACGAAGGCCAGTCCGGGACTGCCTTCAATTAGGTCATACCATCCCCGTCCAGCCTCCTGCTTTCCCCTCATACTTTCTCTTCCTTCTTCTTCTCCTCCTTCTTCCGCTGCCTTCTTCTTCTTCCCGTCAATTGCATCCCATTGCTACTGTGTCTGTTGAGCTATATCGTCTTCTAAAATTCTCCCCTAGCCATAATTCATCTCACAATGGTTCTCGCACGCCCTCATATCCTCCGCACATCTGCTAGGGCCGTCGGTGCCGGCATCGGCGTCGCAGCTCGTCGTCCTCCCACACAGCAATTCGCTCGCAGGGGTTACGCCCAAGCGCATGACGCTCCCAAGTCCTCCGATCTACCATGGTAGTTATCTTCTCTCTGAAGTCAAGTCTCACTGGTTCAGGGCACAGGACTAAAGACGCAATTCAACTAGGCTCATCGCATCTCTGGGTCTTGGTGTCCCAACAGCATTCTACCTGCTTCAGTCCGGACCCAAGAAGACCCCTCATCACGGCCACGAGGCTCACGGCGCTGGCCACGGCGAGAAGGAGGAGAAGGCCCCTGCGGGTGAAGCTACTCCTCAGCCTGATCGCGATGCAGAGCAGAAGACAGATACGTCTTCCTCTGCGGAGGGTACGCCGTCAACGGACGGAAAGCCGCCCTCGGATGTAGACCAGGTGAGCCATTGATCTCCCGGCTGTAGCAATAATTTCACTCCTTTGTTTTGAAAGGATGCTCGACTAACTACTTCCCAAATGTAGCCCTCCAGTCGCAAGGAGACTGGTAATTCGGCGACCATCTCTGGCAAGCAGGAGGGTCTCTCCAACACCAACACGGACAACCCGTACGTGAACGAGCCTGGAAAGAGCGCAAAGGGCGAGGGTGAAACCGAAAGCGCCAAGGTGAAGGGAACCGTTTCCCCCGAGCGCCCCCAGGCTTAATTGAGAGTGACCGTGGGCCACACATGTGAAAAGTCCACTTATGTCTTTGACGAAGGCTACTGTATTTTATCGTCCATGATCGCGAGCTAGATCACCAAAGATTTGCCAATGTAACTTTTGCGTCTACTACTTTGTAGCGGTATGTTCCTTTTCCTCCAAGGGTGTGCGGTCTAGGCTGGCGGGGGGAACTCTGCTCAGGCGTGATAGCCCTGTCGCAGGAATTACACCAGTGACACAAGACATGTGTCTGGATAGTACGGAGTATAAATAAATCTATTTTCTGCTCACAAGTAGGGAGGAATTACTATCGAGTTCCGTACTGAAACTCTTCCTTGCATTATTCCTGCACCCAGCGGCTTGCTCTGGGGCACTTCCATAGTGTATATTTGGATTTCCCATTTACCACTGCTGGTACTACTCTAGTATATAAATATAGTATGCGTCACTAGTAGTATTAGTAGGACATGAGGAAACTGGCTGCTTGTTAAGGGTGTACGCGCTTGGCTACCTACATGGGTAACAGTATGGACTGACGGTAGTAGTACTCAAATGATGGTCAGGTGTAGAATTGAAGCAGTATTGAAGTCCCAGAGGCGTGTTGGCATATTACCAGCACTACAAAGTAGTATTAGTAGTTTATTTCCTTGAGTGAGAGGCAATTGGTTTGTTTACGAAAGACATACACTTAATTGCGGGCTCTAAAAGCCAGTAATCGACGAGGAACTAAGAATAGTAGTGCTCCGCAATGTGCAGAACTGCCAATGGATTATACGACGATAATATATCATCGTCATAGTCGTTGTTTACTACTACTCCATCCATACTAGGACTCCCATTCCGACTATCCGCCGATACCGACAAATTACGTCTAATTCGATGATCGCAGCGATCACCCTAACTTCAAACACTGGGGATTATAATCGCAACGAACACGAGCCAGTGGTTATCAATCCAATTTGCCCGAAACACCAAGCTCGTGCCTTGCAGGGTCTGGCGTTGGAAACACGACGACTCGGGCAGATTAGACCGTGACGGATGAGACTGGTCCACTGTGTACTTACTAGGGAGCCTGTGCTCCTTGCGTCGCGAAAATTAATATCGAATGAATCCCTAAAGGGATCGACGGTGGGCGACAATTGGGTACTTTTATTTCCCTACTACGTATCCACAATGCTCAGACTTTCTTAAGACTAAGTAGACTCTACTCCGTAAAGAGGATGGAGTCGGTCACAGCCAGAAGTACTGCAATTGGTTGGCGAGGGGATCCAGTGCCAACTCAGACTGCAATTGTCCGCTTCAGGTTAAGGGATTGATTGTGTTTGCAATTTTAGCTGTGCTTTGCGGGTCTGGTTGGGCTGGCTATTGCGATGGCCCATAATATTCTCGTTATTATCAACTATTGTTGTTGTTGTTGTGATTATTTCGATGTGTTGCTCCGACGCAAGGTGTTATTATTATTATTTTCTTTTTTCTTCCTTCAAGGTGCAGCAGCAGGTGTTTCAGGAGAGGCACGATCTCGGTGGAAACACGGGGGGATCAACCATGAGTCCGGGTCCCTCTCTCTCTGGAACCAAGGAACCGTGGGGAAGGGGAAACAACAAGGAAACAATGGAACTAGAGTTGGGCAGTTATAGAAAGAATAAACTTGTCAACAAAAAAGAATAGCTAGCTAACCACTAACTAATTCCAGCGTAGATTGATTTTGACTGGGGAGGGTTGCCCCGAGCACCCGCCCAGCCCGACTTGATCGATGGACACTAAAACCCAGTAAACCAACTAAATAATCCAACTAAACCCGTGCCGCTGAATCTCCACTCGCCCAAGAATAACAATTTATCGACTTGTAGATTCCCTCTTTCTTCCTCCTCTCCCCTCCTCCCCCAATCTTACTTACATATTCCCTCCCATTCAATCATTATTCCTCTGTAACTAAGCTACTCCTCGATCCTTGCTTATACTCTCCCCACATACACACACACCCCATCATTGCGCATCGCCTTCTGCAACAAACACACCGCAGTCCACCCCCGATGCCATTCCACCATCCTTCAGCTCCATGGTCCGCCTGCATCTGCTAATTTCCGCTGTGCTTGCATCCCGCCTGGCGTCCTGTGAATCGCGACGCGCGCCGACCTGAGCTTCAGCCTCTGCGACCACCACCCTCCCTCCCCCCTCTCCCCTCCGATCCAGAAAATGAGCGACAATCCACCATGGCTGGACCAACTCTCCGACGATTGGGTGCCCGTCCCTGTGCCTGGAACCCCAACCAGCCCGGTCCCCTCTCGGTCCATCTCTCATTCCCGCCAGTCCAGCTTACAAAACTCTCCTAGTCGCATTCCGGTTCCCGCGCGTCGCTCTGTCGCCCCATCGCCATCGCCTATTGATAAAAAGAAGGTTTCTCGGCCCTGTCATTTTGTGAAAAGGGAGCCGCCCACGCCGAAGACCCCTCGTACCCCCAAGACTCCGTCCAAGTTGCGATCTCCGGTCCCCGATAAGACGAAAAAGAGCCCGCGACCAAACCCACCGTCCAGGAACCTGTCGTCCAGGCGTAAACAGTCGTCCACCATGGACACGAGATCGCCCTTGCGATCGGTCTCGAACGCCTCCGGTCAGTCGGTACAGCAAAGCACTGTTCAAATCAAACCAAAGAAGGCCAAGGGCGGCGAAGGGACCCCCGAATGGCGGAGGAGACTGGTCCATGGAGATATCCCTTCCGGTGAACAGCGCGATCTTTTCGCCCCAATTGGACTTGAGAGTGTATTCAAGCCGCCCACCCCCGGAACCGAGAAAACGCAAGACGAGGCCCTTTCCCGAATGAAACACTCGGATAGCGTCTGGGACTTCTCCACGTCCTCGGACCGACGTGACAATGCCACTTCGAACGGACCTCCTGGTGATGGTCAACATGAGTTTGGTGAGGGTGCCGGCCATTCCTCCTCTCCGAAAAGCCCACGATCCCCGACCAAGTCGTCGCGTCAAGATCAAGGAGAACCCCGGTCGACTCCAGGAAGCCCCCGAGGATCGCACAATGGGATGCTGGATGTGAAGAAAGGGCCTACGAAATTTGTGTTGAACCAAGGTGACGGTCATGAGGATTCTTGGAATGGCACGCAAATGAGATCGGCTAGTGGATTGGAAGATATGCGAAATGAAGATTTCACGCCCATCACCTTCTCACAGCCGAATACAATGGACGGAAACGCTGCATCAGAAGTAATAAGGTCCGCGTTGAAGAAAGTGACGAACAAGCTAGAAAGACTACACTTGCCGCCATATGAACGGCCCGACTCTCCGGCAAGTGATAGCTTCCTGCTAAATCAACCGTCGGAGGCCCCCGTCGACCCGTTACCGGAAGATGATCTACTAGATGT